TTATCTGTGTGAATTGTGCACCAATATTCTTTGGCGTATTTTCCAAGCGGTGCAAATTTGGCGACTATTTTTTGGCTACTTCCGGAGATCTCATTGATTTGCTCTACTGCCACCTCTGTCCGCCATCTTGGATTTGCTCTAGCTTGTGATACCGTCTCAAGCTACTTGTGGTTCGTGTTCGAAAGTTGTGGGAAATAAGGCTCATGCACTTCGGTGCTTCGGCTGTGATGATTTGTTCCACATTTCGTGCATTAGCTTATCCGTTGACGTGTTTCGAAAATCGCTCGACATCCGCCATCGTTTTTTTTCAAGTTGTATGTGATAAATGTCGCGGTACAAGACATCAGAATACGCAGAGACCGCAAACATCTACGGGAAAATCTCTCTTTCAGATAGAAACAAACTGTTCACCACGTAGGATCAAACGCCCTCGTGAAAATACCTCTGTCACCTCGCCTTCTATTGTCACTCCGCGATCTGCACCACCACCAGCGTCTTCGACCCCGGCCTAGCCCCAGGTTCAATGTTCCCCACCGATGGAAGACTCAGACTCGGAAGCTACGAAATGCGGCTTCACTGATCGGTCCGTGAATTTCTCAGAACCTGTCTGTGAACTTCTGAACACCGAGAATCCATGGACCACTCAAAAGCGCAAGGGCCCACGTAATCGAGTTCAGACGTCACCTGCTGATAAACAACAGCCCAACCAGTTAAGCGTCTCTAGTTCTGCTCCAACAGATTCATCACTGATTTCCTTGAAGCATCATAATCTCATGGTCTTCCACATACTTGAGTCAAAAGATGAAAACCCTCAGATACGTTATGATCACCATGTTGAATTCCTCCAGGGGCTCATCGATAGACTCTTGGATGTGGGCGAAGACAGTGTGACGATTAAACAAGTAATCCGACTTGGCCAGAAAATTAACCAGTCATGTCGACCTCTGAGAATCATTTTTGCAAATTCCAATATGCCGCAGCTCATACTGTCTCGTCTGTCAAGGCTGAAAGGCATAAAAGTTCACATCCGCCGAGACTTGGAACCCAAAGACAGGGATCGTTTGAAGACTGCGGTCATTGAGCTCAAACGCCGTACAGAGGAAGGTGAGACTGACTTACAAGTTGTAAATTTTCGGGTGATCAATAAGGGTGTACGAACCCGTATCGACCGGTTGCTCAACCTCCAGGCACGTCCCGCAGTACCTCCCAGGACCTCCGTGTAGCATTCGCCAACATGTGCAGCCTAATGAACAAACGTGACGAACTGTGCCGCTTCGTTGTCTCGGAGCGGCCGGACGTTTTAGGACCTGCAGAGACTTGGCTGAACACCGACGTCATACCCCAAGAAGTCATGTTGTCAAGATACACTTGTTTCCGATGCGGCCGAAAATCAAAGTCTCATGGTGGTGTTCTGTTGTACATAAAATCGTCACTATCTGGCAAACTTACCAGCACCTATCGGAGCGAGGATAGTTTATGCGAGCAGTTGTGGTGCACAATCCGCCTCAGGCGCGCAGAACTAATAGTGGGGGTTATCTACTGTAGCACATCAGACCGTTGTTGCGATTGCCTACCACATGTACAGAAGCACATGAGCCGCTCTCAGTTCTTACTGATGAGGGATCTAAATTTACCTAAAAATATTTTGATCAGACGTTCGACTTCTTTCCGGTCATGACAACGTTGAGGCACAATTCACTAAAATGACTATTGAAATCGGGGCAACGCAACATGTCATCCATCCGACGCGCGTAACTCCGCACTCGGCATCTTGTCTGGACCTAATGTTTACGAGCTGCGAGCAGAAGCTGAACGAGATCAGAGTCATCGAACCTCTGGCGAACAGTGACCACTGCTCCATTGTGGCAAGCTTAGAACTGTCGTTACCATATTACGATCCACGGAAGCCGACATTCAACTATTAGAAGACGGACTTCAATGGGCTCGTCCAAGCTGCAACTCAGACTGATTGGACACTACCACAGGATGCGTCACTTGAGGCCTGTTGGTCATTAATGAAGGGGAAGCTTAACTCGCTCTGTACTCGGTTTGTTCCCCTTAAGTATTCAAAGATCGGACCTGTCAAACCGCATTGGTTTGATACGGAATATAGACAGTTAGCGCGACGGCGTCGCAAACTTTGGAATAGATGCATCAGCTCGGGTTGTGATGAAGATTACGCGGTGTACAAGAAACAGCGTAACTTATGTAACGCCACAAAGGTCAAGAAACGCCGGCAGTTCGAAGAGGAGCTAGCATCCACGGCCACAACTGCACCCAAAAGAATATTTGCCTACTTGAGATGTCAACTGAAACCTGGGGGTGACCTACCGGTCTTAGAGAGCTGAGACGGAAAGACGCTCATTTCAAGCGCGGAGTGCGCGGACGCCTTGGCTACGCACTTCCTCACTGTATTTTCCAGTAAACCGACGGCAGTTTCAGTACCGGCACAGGTTGCGCTAGTCTTGCTCAACAGCCTACAATGTGATGCAGTCGAAGTGTACCAGCTACTCGTAAACCTCGATGGTGCAAAGCCCCCCGGACCAGGCGGACTTCACCCACTAATACTCAAGTCCCTATCGATTATCATCTCACCAGCCGTGACAAACCTTTTCAATAAATCGCTCTCTGAAGGATCTGTCTCGAAGGACTGGAAATGCTCAATAGTGAGACCGCTTCCCAAGGGTGGTGATCCGAGTAAGCTAGAGAACTATAGACCTCCGTATTATCCAAAGTGCTCTGGAAGGTTGTGAAAATGTGTCTGCCATCGTTTTTCGAATCGATGGACGTATTGACGCCAGCACAACACGGCTTTACGAAAGGGCAAGCTGGCATCACCAATTTGATGTACACAAACCACCAGTGGGTACAAGCTCTCAACGAACGGAAGGATGTTGACGTGGTGTACATCGACCTTAGTAAGGCGTTTTACAGAGTGAACCACGAGGTACTCCTTGGTAAACTGAGGACATACGGAATTGGTGGCACGTTACTTCAGTGGTTACACAAGTTTATTGTGGGACGAAAGTTTGAAGTACATGTCAATGACTACCTGACAGACTGGTTCCCATCGACTAGTGGCGTGCCTCAAGGAACTGTACTTGGGCCAGTATTATTTCTTATTCATATCAACGATCTTCCGCAGCAGCTCCAATCACCATGTACCCTGTTTGCAGATGATTTGAAAATCCGGAGGATCATTGAGAACCAAAACGACTGCACTCGCCTCCAGCGTGACTTAGAGCGACTGTCAACGTGGTCCACTGAAATGCAACTCCCTCTTAACGCAAGCAAGTCGGAATTCATCAGTATCACCAGACGTCCAGCCACTCGATCATACACCTTGGACGGCCAGTTGCTCCATCCCAACACATCTGTCAGAGACTTAGGAGTTCTCTCACGACATGATTTGTGATCACTAGAAAATACAGAGAAATTGTACCTTGCGGGACTTCGTATGCTCTGGGCATTAAGACGCAGTTTCTCCACATGGTCCGAAGAAACCGTCCCTCGTCTATTCACCTCACTCATTAGACCAATCCTTGAATACGGTGCCCCAGCTTACCATCCGATAACCCAATGGGAAACTGAAAAGCTGGAGAAAATACGGCATATCGCAACTAGAATGATACCGAGTCTACAAAAGCTTCCGTATGAAAAACGTTGTGAAAAGCTCGGACTCTACACACTCCTACCGCCGAGTAAGAATTGACCTTATTATGACCCATCGAGTATTACACTTAAATCACTTCCCCATACTGCGGCCAATATTTTACCTGCGGGAACCCTGTAACACCCGAGGACACCGTTACAAACTCAGGGTCCCCAACATGAACAAAGTATCACCTCAGCTTTGTATCGAATGAAGAATGGTAAACTTATGGAATACACTACCCGAAGTATTAATAGAGGCCGATTCTGTGAAGTGTTTTAAAACCCGTATCGATGATTATTTGGAAAACTGTGCCAAACAAAGACATTGTATGCCCGGAAATAATGACACTAGTACAAATTCCTAACCGAACAAAGATAAACGATTAACGGATCAGGCACAACTGCTGATGATTCACAACTAAATGTTTTTGATTTTTCATAATTCGATAGAGTTGTACAGAAACCTTTCTACTTGCTCTTAACTACAGTCTCAGTCTCAGTATCAAACAGTATTGAACATATTAACACTGGTTGTCAGCCGTTTCGGGCTGCACACTGCACTCTCCAAATGCAAACTTTTTCTCCAAGATTGTCAGCGTCCACCTCCTACACTGGTGCTTGTTGGAGGCTACCTAGAATTCGTTCAAAAATGTTGCTACCTGGGCAGTTATATCATCAGCAGTGGAATAGGCGAAGTACCAAATCGTATAGCAAAAACTCAAGAGGCTTTTTCAAATATTCGACATCTGTGGCATAGGCGCGATTTCACTCTCGCATTGGGGAGTAGAATCTTCAGTGTAGCCGTTCGTTCAACCCTGTACGTTTGGGAAACGGGACACGTCGATAAACATGAAGAGGTTAGTATTGTTATACCACCATTGCCTTCACCGTTTAGCTCACATCTGGTGGGAGCACCTCGTGTGTATTGAGCGTGTTCGTTGTCTTGTTTATGTCGCAAGCAGAGTAATTGAGCCGCGCAACACTGTTATTTCACGCACCAGGATCCGATGACGGCAAACAAACTCTTGTACAGTGCCTTTGCGCGTGAACGAGGCTAAATAGAAGCCAACCGATGACTTGGTTAAGAAGAACGAAGGCTCTCGCTTCGGATCTGACTTCGGTTGGTGCCTCCTGACTGTCGGGCTTGAATCCCAAGAACAATGAGCACGTTCGATTGCATTCATTTGTTGATGTGGCGAAGATCAGACCTCAGTGGCGTTTGTGTTAGGAGTTTCTTTGTTTTGCCCCATCCCACTTAGCCTCTTTCTTCAACCTTCATCTCACTACTGATGTATAACATAAGAACTAAGCTTTGTTCTCGCCTTTCTCATTCATTCTTTTCCACTATGTACGGTTGTTTATTGCATCACGATAGCTGTGGTATTTCTCAGCTCCAGTTCACTCTAACTACAATATAGCCCAACCTATTTTCCACTGCCATGCAGTGCCTGGCCTCCAGAGTTCATGAGTTTTACTACACAACGGCTATATCCGCATAGCATTTGACGACGAGTATGTGGGCGAATGTTTAATTACTAATGAGTAAGATGATTTTTGATCATGTTTTTTTCGTTGACTCCACCAATGACTACTATAGCTGCGGAGTACTCCGGATCAGCCACTTCCTGATTTGGAAGGCAAAGTACTTGACATATCTACGGTTGAGCCTCTGAAAAGACGGACTGACTGTGTAGTAAGTCTAACTGTTAGTAGCTCAGCTTGGCTTTTGACTTGTCCGCCGATCTGTGCTGTTCGCTTACAAGCGTTTTTTCATTAATCAAGGTGACATCAGTGCGTAGTCGTCAGTAGCTTCACTGATAGGCCTAGAGTTTCTCGGAAATCCGAAGACAGCTCTGGTTATGTTACACAGCAAAAAGACCTAGCGTAATCCAAATCTTTTCATGGCTTAGAAGACGAACAAACTTGTGAGTTTCATATTACGACATGTCTAAATTCCTACACACATTCGATGCAGATGCTATTTAGACATCTATGGCGTCTGCACTTTACACGTGCCATTCACGTTGATCTTTTGCACTCAACCTGTTAAAGCTTTCTGTTTCTTTCTCTAAAATGACACCACATTTTAGCTGTCTGTCTCATTCACTGTTTGACAATATGACCTTTGTGTATACCGATTCGGTTGGATCACATCAAATCAGACGTCGAACTACGCTTGTACGGGGATCTGGTGGTCTGCACCGAGAATTCCTATCTTGTGATCCATTCACTTAAAGCACAGCCTGCTAACTATTTTATTCACAGACATGCTTACTTCTTGTTGGTCGCTTTCTGGACCGAGGAGACCATAGTAGGTCGTGAGCTACTTCAATCGAATTCCCTTCCAAATGCTGGTGTTAAAGGAGAACGTCATCAAGCCCTTTGGATTCACGTTCATCACAATCCTGGCTCACTTGTGCTCCGCGTATGCCACTCATTTCTGGGAGTGGGTTGGTGCAATAACTCTTATTAACATGTGATGTTACCTATTACTTCTTCAAATTTCCCTTATGTTACATCCACATTGACGCTTTTTAGGTTTGTTTCCCGTCGGACTACTTTGCTAATCCATTAAGACCGCAATTACCACATAGCTTCCTTGATCGCGTTGCATTTTTTTCATCTCATCACACTGTAGTGCACATTTTTTGATTTTTGCCACGATGTATGAGTGTACATACCAATTACGGAGCCCGAATGTGTTTCCGTCTAACTCAAGAGCAAATCTTCCCTCTTTTTCCAGCCCCATGGGATCACTCCACCTCCCACTCGAGTCACTTCACATTGCACCCGACACGATGTCGCTTGATATTCTAGACAACTCCTGTGTTTCAGTGGACACTCAAAAACATACTCTGTACCCTACATGTACTGGGACATCTGTGATAGGAATTAAATACGCAGACGGCGTTATTATGGCCGCAGACACTTTGGTCTCGTATGGATCACTTGCGCGCTACATGGGTATCGAACGCGTTGTTAAAGTATCCTATGTGTTACACTTTATCTGGTTCTGAAGATAAACAACAAGGTAGTGCTCGGTTTCAGTGGTGATGTCGCTGACTATCAACTACTCAAGAAGCGGATTGATGAACAGACACATATGGATGGCCTTTTGGCGGATGGCTTCACGCTTAGGTACGATGTAAATTTGTATGTGATAATTTTTCAGCCCCAAAGGTCTTCACTCCTGGATAACGCGTGTTTTATATAACAGAAGGAGCAAGATGAATCCGTTATGGAACACCTACCTCGTTGGGGGCCTGGAAAATGATGGAAAACCCTATTTGGGTTTTTGTAACTTACTTGGAGTATGTAAGTATTCGTATTACTTCTAAATAACTTAACCGCTTTTTGTTTCTTGCCTACTTCTCTCATCGTTTGCCTTCATTTCATAACTTTCATTATTAATTATTGCCGATTTGACATCATCGATCGGACGCACCTACGCTTTTTGGCCCCAATTCGGAAAGATGAGTGCATCTAAACTAGTGTTAGATGTTGCACACTCAGCAACCGGGTTTATGCCAATCTGTACGTTTCAGATAGACACGACCGAATTGGGAATCAAATCGGTGGCGTAGAGATTACCGGTAGACACACTTACCAGTACATCTCGGAGCTGTGGGCGACGGTTTAAAATGCATGGTTGGTTTTGTTTACAGTGCCCATTTTTTGAATAGTTTACGATACGCGGTGACCCCCAGCAGAGTGGACATATACGGGACGCTTTGTCAGACACCTGTTATAACCAATATTGCTGCTCCTATAAAAAGATATACGGAAGTACGCACAGCACGATTTTATCTTATACTGCTCATTTCTGATTAGTATGCTTGTGACAACGCATGAGTGGTTGCAGACACTGAATCAGGGGAAGTCTATCAACACGATCTACATCGACTTCAGTATGGCATTCGACAAGGTAAACCATAAGGTCCTCCTCGACAAGCTCAGAGTGTATGGCGCTGGTGGCTCACTGCACCAGTGGATCCGGGAGTTCCTCCTTGGAAGAAATTGAAGGGTACAGATCGACGACCATCTAACCGGCTGGTATACCTCTACAAGTGGCCTACTCTAAGGTCTAAATTCTTTCTGGTCTATACCAACTTTTTACCTCAGCATAGCTCACCCGCCTACTCTCCAATCACCCCGTGCAAAGCACAGATGATCGAACGGGTACAGCACGTTGCTGTCAGACTCATTTTGTGTTTACGAGGCTTGCTGTACAAAGACCAGTGCAAGAAACTTGGACTTTCTACTTTGACCTATTGTCGGTCGCGAGTCGATCTAATCGTGACCGACCGCGGTCTTCCCCATTTTAAAACCGCTGCTCCACATGCGAATGTCATGTGCACACGCGTATACCGCTTCGAGGTGGTGGTGCCGGGTCTGAAGCGAGTTTCCAAACCTCGGAATTTCGAACGGAGTTGTAAACGTTTGGAGCAGTCTACCATAACATGTCATGGGGGTCAAATCTGTGCGTCAGTTCAAGGCGTCGTTGGATTCATGTTTATTTTATTATCATTCGATAATGACATCTCACATTTGTGAGCCCAGTATTATTGTATCTCAGATATTTATACATGCTACCTAAGCAACTTAAGAACGACTAGAATCTCAACGGATGACAAATGCCTTCTTAAACACTTTTGACCATTTTAAATAGAGTTACACAGATTTTATTTTCCAGTTGCTCTCACAGTACAATAATCAGTATCGTAAGTACTAGTTTGAAATGCGCCTTCGTTATTCCGGTCACTGAGGTTACGTCTGGAACACTAGACATTGCATGATCATCAATCTAAGATAGTTTGGTAGCTGTTGGTGGCAGGTTGGATGATGGAGCACAACGCTGTAAGAACCTCTCACTACACTACGGTTGCGAAACCTGGCCCCTAAGATCAGCGGACATAAAGAGGCTAGTTACGTTCGACCATCGGTGCCTTCGCAGTTTGGCTCACATCTGGTGGTAACACCGCGTGAGTAACGACCTTGTTCGACGCCTTGTTTACGGCACAGAAAAAGGATCTGAACCGCTCAGCAGCGTCATTTCACGCACCAGACTCCGATGGCTGGGCCACGTGTTGCACATGTCAGCCCACCGACTTCCACGATGTGCGTTATTTGCTCACCGGGGATGTGGATGGAAGAAGAGGAGGGGCGGCCAAGCGATGACTTGGTCCAGAAAAATGAAGGCCTTCACTTCGAAGCTGGCCTCGGTTGGAGCGTCATGGCTCCCTGGTTGGGGTCAAAGAAACAGTGAACACTTTTGGCTGGATACACTTGCTGACATGGCAAGGAGCCGACCTCAGTGGCGTTCCTGCTGGGAGTTTCTTTGTCCCTCTCCACCTCTTTTAGCCTTCCCCTCAACCTACGATCTCATTTCATAGTGTGAAACATAATTTTTTTTGTCAAGTAGCCGGCTGGTAGCTTACCGGCACGATGCCAATCCGTTGCTGGTAGCTCAGCTGGCATGCAACTGTTGTATTTATTTTCCTTTTCCTTTATGTATTGCGGCACAGTAGCTGAGGGGTTTCCCACCTCTATCTGACGTGTATAGTGATGATGACTGATGATGATGACTAGACAAATAGTGGAGTGTTATCTTGCTCGTCTGTCAATCTGAAGTAGATAAAGAGGAAGGAAGGAAGACATTAGTAGTACGCCGGTACGCAGCATCCACGCTTCGCTGCCGCGCAATCACCACCAATCGCGCGTGGGCTAAGAACACTGCGAGGGTCGCCCGGTCCTCTACTCAGGCTCGAACCGGCCCATTCGGATTACAAGGCACTTTTGTGATCCTTAGAACTACGGACCGACAGATAAATAGGATTCATGCACCAATCCGTTTACCTCAGGGTTTCCACAATATCATGAAACAGGCATCAGCTGTGGTTCTCAGGGCGGGTCGTAATAGTCAGTGGACAGTTAGGACCAGCAAAAGTAGCGAACTTTTATTTAAATGCTTGTCACTATTGCAGTTACGTTTTCACATTCAGTACGGATTTTGGATGCAGTTGTTGCTAATTTCCGAACAATACCTTCCATACTCAGAAAACAAAACCTTGAATAATCCTTCGACACATTTAACGGAAGTGGTTCCGTTCAGTTCAAAATCACCTGTAACCGTTATTTGCTCTCGTTGACTATCTCAGACCATTAGCTGACTGCAACGCTAGAGCACTGATCGGCTACTCTCTGGCCGGTGGGCTTGAAGCTGGGTTGGTCTAAACTTCTCAGTTTACCGGCATGCAAAGTTTCTATGAGCGGGCTATCTTAACAATCGCACTGACTAACAGAAGACTCGGTGAATGAAATGATATCTGTGCATAACGAAAAATAGTTTGATTTCAGATCCACCAGCACATTTCTAAGGTCCAATCAGCTTGTCTGTTACTTCTCGTTCGCAACCCGGATCCTCTTCACTTAGCACGATTTCGTTTTATTGTCCTGACTCTTGGTTGACGCACTCCTTTTACCACTGGTATGCATTGGTAACGTGTTCTCAGAATGGTGGTTATCGACCATCACCCCCATTCTTAAAGGAATCACGCACCCTCTGCTTCCATGCTGTCGACATGTATCCCTTTACGGTGACTCACTCATCAAGTGAATGGAAGTCGATTTCCATACCGGAAGAATATGCATCAACCGGATATTTGTAGGTTGTCTTAGAATAGCGACTCATCTTTTAACCCAAGAAAACTGATCACTTCGTTGCGACGCGTCAACCACAGGGCTCGGGACCGTACTATCACACCAAATGGAAGACATGACCGAGCGACCAATAGCTTTTGCGTCCAGAAGTTTGGCACCAGCGGGAAAGAACTATGCGCGGCTCGACAAGGAAGGTTTAGCGGTTATCTTTGAAGTCAGGAAATTTCACCAGTATCTGGGGGGAAGAAAATTCGCAATCTTTACCGACCTCAAGGCTCTGTTAATTCTGACTGGTGAGAAAATTGGCTTAAACCAGATGGCGTCACCTCGTCTGCAACGTTGGACTTTATTGCTCTCCGCTTACAATTACAAGATTATCTATGTCCCTGGGAAAGCAAATAGAATCGCGGACGCTCTGAGCCGGTTACCGTCGAATCACCTAACAGATTGCGTGCTTAACCCTTTTTAGCTTGTCCATCTGTTGCAACATCTGAGCAAAAATCCGGTGTCAAATGCAGATATTCGTCAGGAAACTGAACGGGACATATTACTGGCCAAAGTCAAGCGTGTAGTCTCTTAAGGATGGCCTGACGGCCATGAACCTCAACTAATACCTTATTTTATCCAACGCACAGAGCTTAGTCTCGAGTATGGGCGTCTGTTATGGGGACCTAAATCGATTATACCACCATGGTGGCCACAGAATATTTTACAATAACTTCATGAAACGCACGCAAGAATCACGAGAATGAAGACAATTACGCGATCCTATGTGTGGTGGCATCAAATTGACAGATATATCGAAGAGTTGATCCGACACTGCGACGTGTGTCAAAGCACTCAGAGAAACGCCTCTCCGGTACCACATAGTTTTTGAAATTGGCCTAGTAAAGCTTGAGAAGGCATACACACAGACTTCTTTGGTCCTTTGGATGGAAAAATGTTTTTCCTCTCGATTGATGCTTACTCGAAATGGATGGAAGTTTTTACACATACCACTTATGAGACGACCGTTTATTGTATGCGGACGTGTTTCACTACCTTCGGTATACAATATACACTGGTAACAGAAAACGGTTCTATATTTACTAGTCAAGAATTTCAAGAGCTCCACAAAAGCAACGACATACATCACCCAGCTTCGAACGGGTTGGTAGAAAGAGCCGTCCAGACGGTCAAGAAATGGTTACGAAAACAAGCGTATGCTCCACTGCGAACAAAGTTAGACACATTTATTTTTGGCTGCCGCATCAAGCCAAACGAAACTACTGGGAAAAGCCCAGGCGGGTTGATGTTCGGACGGATGTCAAGGACATGGCTGAATCTTCTGTTTCCTGACCAACGGCTACGTGTCTAGACTAAGCAAGATAAATCTAAGACAGGGTACGATCAGAAGGCTTCCGATCGAAGATCCTGCGAGAATGAACCGGTCCACATCAATTTTCCCAACGAAGCAAGCTGGCAGCCTTAAGGGTTGCGCGAAGTTGCGGGACAACATACGGTGTTTTTACCTGATGGCAGAGTAGTTACTCAGCACATGGATCATGTCCAACATCGTTCTCTTTCAATTTCGCTGGGTAACGCGTCCTCAAACCAGCATACTGAGTTGTCATAGGCGCAGAACTCTCAATACTCAGGCTAACCGGAGGCTCAGTAATATCGCCGTTCAACTCGGCTACGCCGACCCATCGATCGATACCAAGCTATCTGTAGTGGTCCAATCTAAAGGGAGAAGGAGTGTGGCATCCTCACGGCTAAGGTACTGAGCCCTTCCTATTCGTTGCCTACGTCTGCTGGTGTGTGTCAGTAACCCGCTCACCCGCTCATCGATTGGCTTAATTTAGAATACTGGATCGATGCGCTCTACCACATGCTGATTAGAATACAGTTTTGCCTTCTGTGTGCCCGCTTTTTTTACCTTATGATACTTCAGCTACGAGGCAACCACTGAGCGTTAGTTCCGTAGTCGCTAAACTGTGACACGGATATCCTTTGCTTGGAGTCAGCTCGTATCTATGTTTGGCGCCATCTATTTCTGAGGCTCGTGCCTTTTTCGATAGGGCAATTTCTAGTGTGCTCGAAACGGTCATGGCTCCTCTGTTACTTATGATTCCGGTGTGAAAGCTCTACCTGGTGACCGACCGACCAGCATACTCCCATTGAGGCGTAGTCATTTTCATTTGTGTCGACTGTGATAGTGCACTGCACGTTCCGCTATGTTCTTCGTTGCTTCAGATTGCAGCATGCTGTCGCAGGTCTGAACTGCTCTATTACCGATTCTCATAATCTTCAAACACGTATTAGAGAAGGGGTATTAAATTATTTCCTGAGCAGTTGTATTATCCCATGTGGCTGGTTGGTCGGTGATACTACCGTTCGCAGGAGTAGCATCAGTTGGGCTTTCCTAAGCGTCTATCACAATGGAGGCACCTTGATATCAGACCATCGTGTACAACACTGCACTGCAGGCGTTATCACTGGATGGATCCGAGACACTGTCGATGCGCATAGGAGATTTCAAGTAACTGACGATCCTTGGCCATGCGTGTTTACATGACGTTGCGAACAGCACTTATATCCATCATTTGAGATTTGCAAAACAGGTCATCTCCTCTTTTGAACTCCGATAGTCGCTTTCTCGTTCACGCTTTTTTTAGGCTTTTTTATTCTCAGCCTCCTTGTCGGTTTTAATTTCTGTTACTGCTCTCAGTTTGTTAGGGAAATGCGGTGGCGTAACTTGTCAAAAATCCTATTTGATTGGTTGAAAATGTCATCTCTCGAATGCGCTGTGGTTGCGCCTAGTTGAGCGAAACTGCGGAATCACCGGCCGATATCATAACACAAAAATAGTGAGGAAATTTACCGAGAGTTGGTACCTTTGCCGTTCATATTGATGGGGCCACAACGCCTTACTTGTCATAGCGCAATCACTGAGTCGGTAGGGCCCCGACATTTCTTTTCTTGAGTTTAACTTTTAACCTTCTCCGTGATTAATCGTATTTCTTACCCTCTGTCTCCTTTTCTCATTGGTGTTATTGTCGTGGTAGCTAAATCTCCACGCACTTTGGTGCCCGGGTCATAGTTGTCTAGCTGGGCCCAGTTTGTCCAACTAAATAGCCCGAATAAATCAACTAAATAAGGTTTTAAATACTCATCTTGGAAAGTACTTGGAACCGATCGAGAACTCATGATTTCAGAAAGTTTTGAAAATAACCGGTTGGTATAGTTTCTGGGCAACGTTTCGCTTTTGATGCAAAAGACTCGTCATGCTGAGTGAACCGGTCGAGGATTGGTATCGCATTTATAGAGAACTGGGATGATCATCACGAGGAATGTGATGTAGGTAGATCAATCGCGTTACAGGTCAACGCATCACTCCAAATAGTGCATGGAACGGTAACAAGTGGTCCACCTTACAAGGTCACACACGTAAGCCCTGTTAACGATGGTTGCGGGGATGATGTGGTGTTCATACTTTGCCCTGGATCCGTCCGTCGGCGTTCCTCACACTGGTCGGGTTAAGGCAGCTCGCCACACGTTCGAAAGTTCTGCCCCGTCCATTCTATTCACGCAGCTGTTCACTTTGCGAATCTCAACTACCTCAGCACCTCAATCTTTGGGCGTCGATCGCAACCGCTTTCTAACGATTTCGCCGTATCTATCTATCTATCTATCTTCGTAGAGCCCTGTATTCAGACCCATTTCTCGGTGGCCGTGTTACGCATCTCTTGCCCTCTGCTATCCATGTGCGTAGCTCTCTCGCGCGTTGAGCGATGTACACGTGTTCGCAGTCTGCAACTAATCTTGTAGACGCAATGAATTGTCCTATTTGCTAGAAGTGGGTCTTTTAAGTGCACCGGTGTAGAGCGGAGCGATTGGTATTTCTGGAAAATTCCTCTTATGTTTTCTTTATCTAGAACCCTCCGGATGGCCTCCGAAGTTCCATTTTTATAAGGAATACCTACCGTCCCAATCCACTCCGTTAATGAGGATTTAAAATTCGCTGCAACTGGTGTTTCACTAACCGCCTCGGGTGTTCACTACCAACCATTAGTTGCTTCTTTTCAGTCGACCTTCCAATCTTCTTCCTCTGTGCACAGGATCTGGACTTTGTGAAACAGAGATGGGGCGATTCCAGCATACACGCTTTGGCTGGCCTGAACTGTAATGGAGTACCCCATCTACGACGAAGCTTTTGTGTCAAAAGCGAAACGCTCATAAACTATTCCCACCGGTTATTTTCAAAGATTTTAGATACTTTCTAGTATCTCGCAGTCACTATCGCATTTCTGCGCATCTTTCTCCCTTTGCTGCTATCTGATGGCCTCACTGAATGAGCGCATATGCACAACCGCACGGCGCGCTAGCGATTCGACATGTGAGTCCGCTATCCTTAGCCACGGCGGTAGCTAACTGAAATAGCGCACCTGGTAGCCAATCAGCAGAGCATAGTCGGACGTCAGATCAAAAACGGAAGCGATGTGACTCTAACATATGTCCACCCAGAGGTGTATCTAATCCCTTGAAATCGGAGCCCTAGACAAGGAGCACATATGATCAGTATTAAAGCAGTCATCTTTTATATTTAATTATTATGACTTTAGAAAATATACCGTCGCTTTTCATTGGTACATATTTCCTGTCCCCTGCGTTTTTCCCTCTTGTTTGCTTTGCGGGTCATTGTTACGTAATAGATCAGCGGGATAACTTTCCTCTCGATAAACGTTGAGTAGATAGCGGCGTTTGTTTTCCCTACTTTCATACCAGTTGTATCCGCTCTTGCACAAGCATTCATAGTGTCTTTCTTTGTGCCCGCTACAAATGACTAGCAGCATGCCCTCAAATTGAAATCCTGATTTTTCCTATCAAGCTTAGATCGAGATCTCCGTAACCTGGCACTTTTCAGATGTTTTCACAATCACTTATTGCGGGTACTTTCTGTCAGTGGATAGATGAACAGTCAAATGTCCTCTTTCCTAGAAGTTCATCTGTTTGCTCTGAACTCAGCTTGACTGGGGTCGAGTAGTCCTTCACAATTGGGTGTCTAGCAGTGGAAGAACCCGATGGTCGGCCACCATTTTCCGTTGCTTTCTCCATTTCAGAGCACATCGGACTACTACATGAAACTCCATTAAAACTCGACCTAGATTTGACGTTTTTGGAGCATGTGGTGCAATTGAAGATCTGCATTTGTTGCTGCCGAGAAATGATTCTATTGCTATCCCTGTCACTATGTAGTGGCTCTTTTCATCTGGGCATACGCCGCATTGCTGTGTTGCGTTTCCAGCCATTAAGGTTAGGAGGATGAATTTTCTCAAAAGGATTGCATTGACGAGCTCCACACGTCCAGTGCCTCCAGTGGCCTACGAATTTCGTGACTCCAGTTTCACCCATGCCCGCCATTTATTAATCCCCCAACTGCTCTATTCGTTTACCTCCTTTTTCCGCTTCTTGTCGCTTCTCTCTTCCTTTCCCAATTGGCCTCTTTTTATTTGTATATTCAACTTGGCTTTCAGATTGTAGTTTGTAAAGGTCTTAGGGTTACTCAAACGAGTATGTCAGAGTTCACTATATTTGAGTAGGAACTTTACCTAAATTCGGATTCTTTTCAGTCGTTGCATTTTTGGGCGCAACCTATGCTTCCAGAGATTCGTCAGATGACGAAATGAGAAGACGAATATTGGCAGATGCTAGCTTTTCGTATTATCTCGTTGTACCAATACAATAACGTGCGGTTGCCGTGATTCTAATGCCAACAACAATGACCACAATCATGCATTTGATTGGCTTGACTCTGCACTGTGAGATTTCCCAGTTTTTGTATTGGTACTCACGAGATAATACGAAATGCTAGCATCTACCAATATTCGTCTTCTCATTTCATTGTTCAAATTGCTGAAGGGAACTAATTGTTTTACAATTCGTCGATTGATCCGTTTGTGGACTATTCTCCTCTGCACCACAATGCGGGCACATATACTCCGGACGAGACCAACCTAAAAACCTGCCCTCTCATTGATCCTTCCAGCAATCTACAGTGCCATATGACATTTCGCTCCTTTGCGAGAGAGCTCGTACGAGTCAACTCTGCGGCTCCTCCACTACGGTAACGTGCATAACACCAGAAAACGGACTGTACTGTTCCACACGCTCCGCATCATGTACTCATATGGGCTGACCGACATCACTCACGTCGCAAACTCTGTTTCGCGAACTGTTTGCTCGTGAGTTCAAGGGAAGGCGCTCTACTGGTTTCTCAGGATCGGTCCTCACTGTCGTTTTTTCCACTTTTCCGAATGAGTTGTTTTCCTTTGTAAAATCGTATCTTAAAATATTCGCCGTTTCCTCTACATTCATCATTGTTGTGCTTACTCCTGTTTCCATGTCAGCTTTCACAGGTGATTGTATAGCCACCGGATTTGGGACATATTTGGTTACTCCACTACTGCGCCAACGCCTGGATGATCTTGCTGGAGGGGATCCAAACAATCTAACCGAGGCGCACGCCGTTCAAGCTGTCACAGATGCCATGCGTCAGCTATACTTCCGCGACTGTCGGTGAGTAATCTACTATGTTCGGGCATCTGATCTTTACTTTCCTATCTGCGCAATCCATACGTCATGAAAATTCTGTCCGTTACTGTTTCACGTTCTTCTATCCTATCTTCTTCTGTCCTTCTCCTTCATTGGTTATGATACATTGATTCTTTCTTAATCGTTTCATCGACGCAGGAAGAAGATAGGCTTGTCTGCTCCTCATTTGTTTATTCCTTTCTGGTTTGCGCGATCGAGGAGAGCAGTCGAAATGTCGGAAACTTTCTACTATGTCGACAGTATGCATTGCCACTGGATGTATCCGCATCTTAACGCTCTGACCACATTTAGTGAACTGCACTCCGTCAACGTACTACTCTCTCTGCCACCAGTAGTCCAATACTGTACGGTTGTTATTTTGTCGCGCTCTAGGCGGCACTTACCACGTTATTTCCCCAGATCAAATAACACTGCGTAGTCTTGGACACGTGCCACATATAACCGCTCACCGCAGGGTCTTGTTTTATTTGCCAGATGTCGAGTGGTGTGCAATGTCGAAAGTGAGCACTATTTGATTGGTAGCGGGAAATGACGACCAAGCTATCTTAGCGAGTAGTAGGAAGATCATTGCCCTGTCCTCTGCACATTCATCACATGCATGACAATGGAGGATGAGTCACGCTATATCACAGTTAGATATCAAACATAGCGATCCGCTGCCGTCGCCCATGGCTCAGTGGTATGAGTCGCTGGCTCGTAAGTGTAAGGTCGTAGGTTCGAATTCGGCAACATTCGGCGGGCGCGCGTTATTGTTGAGTCCCAATAAGACGAAACGGCCGTCTAACGCTTTCCTGTGGTGAATCTTCACAGAAAGCTACCTTTTGCTCATTCTTCTAACCTATCAGGCTGGTGTCCACAGTATACATCCTCTGCTTGGCTCGAGGCTTTATAGAGCACGGTTTGAGGCGCGTTTCTTGTCATCTCCCAGTCGGAATGCCTGCTGTTGCTTATTTACTTGCCTGGCGTGGCTGATTGTGGCGCGGAACAGTGACAGCCGCAATGAATCTGTCTCACCGCTTCCGTTTTATAGTCACTCAGCAGCCACTTTTTGTGATCTATTTGTAATGCTATTTAGGCGCCTTGTCCCATCACGACGAGACTCGACCATAGCGACAAGACTGGACCTTAATGTCGTGCGATGGTTTGTGTGTCTCAGTGATCCATTCATTGAGCTATGCTGGTTGGTGCCTTTTACACCTTCAGAACCACTCATACCAGATTGGCCAATGGTTATAGACCAGACAAATTCACTCTCCTAGCCCTGCAGGTTGGGGGTTGAAGTGTGGTCGGCTCCTCACTCCATAAAATGGGCTCTCTGTAGTACAGTATCAGAACGTCGCTGACTTGCGGTAAGGTTTTTGAACCAAAGGCTTTAATTGAGAACCCTAATCGTTCTCCTGTCTAGGTCTGGGCAACCTTGCAGCATTCTGTCCACGCACTATTATGAACCTTTCTTCTAACAATTTCTTGATGCTCTGGCCTGGTGGATAGGGGTTTGGGTGCTACTGCTCAAGCTTCTCCGTCTTCTTATCCCTCTTGAATTTTTCATCCTTATCGTCCCTCTCGAACTTCACTTTCATCTCCCCGTTTTCGATCCCCAATTCTTGGTTCTCCCCCACCTTGCTTGAATAGTCGCTTGTCTTCTAGTTTCAACTTACACTCAATCGCATGGTGTCGCTCCAATTCAGTCGACAAGTCCATGTTCAACCAAGTGGACAACGTCAATTCATCCGTTTCCTTTTGGAGTCTTCGATCCTCACAAAGACTGGCATGTTTCAACGTGGGCACTTTGCTACAGGTTGGCCAACAGGCAGCACTCGCCCAAACACTCGAGACCCTCTCCATCGATATTTGCTGTTTATCGGAAACCCGCTTGCAAGATTCGAGATCCATGCTTACTCTGCGATCCCCCACATGCGACACTGGCGGCACATTCTTATAGCGTCTGTCTGGCGATGATGCAGCATCAAATGCAGGTCAAGCTGGCGTCGGCATTGTTTTGAGTCCCCGGACTGAAGCTGCCCTGATCAATTGGGTCCCAGTAAACAGTAGTATGTGCGCCGTTGGATTAGCTGGTTCGTTCCGTGCCACGAAGTCGCGCGGGGACAAACGGTGCCTGTTTGTCATTGCGGCCTACGCCCCTACAAACTGTAGCACTGATTCGGTGGAAGATGATTTCTATCAGCAGCTTCACCAGCTCCTTCGTTACAGAAGAAGCACGGATGCTGTGGTGTTGGGTAGCGATCTAAACTCCCAAGTCGGCAAATTGTCCTCTGATGAGCTTCATCTGGGCGGCTGACATGGTGTAGACTCCCGTAATGATAACAGCGAGCGATTGCTACAGCTGTGTGAAGATGCTCACGTTCTTCTCGCGAGCACTAACTTTCGACACAGCACCCACAGAAGCGTGACTTAGCGGCCACCAGCCTCGGGCCAGCCATGGACGCAAATCGATCATATCGCGATTAGTTACCACTGGAGAGGCTGTGTCCAAAGCTGTCGCTCGATTTGGAGCACGAGCGTGGACTCTGACCACGCACTTGTCTGCGCCGATCTGCGGATGCGTTTCGGTGGACGTCCGCAACATCGATGTAGACGGATTGGCACCAGCCAGCTGGCGAACCCAAGTGTCCTGAATGTGTATCAAAGTGCGCTGACATCTGGGCTGAGTAAGCGCCCCACTAAACACCGTCGAAGCTCACTGGTCGCATATTCGTCAAACGTTACTGTTAGCAGGCATGTCTTCATGTGGCAAAGCAAATCGCCAAACCGAACATTGGGTTTGTACACAGTCTCTGGAACTTGTGGATGCTCGCCGACGTATTCCGGATGAAAGCGAATACCATAAGGCTCGCAAAAATCTCAGGGCAAAACTACTTGCTAGCCTGAAGAAAGACCGCGAAACCTGGTTGTCTCATCGTGCCTCTGAGATGGAGACAGCCGCTACCGTTGGCAATCATCATAAGTTATTCCGTCTGATACGGGAAACAGGCAGCAAGAGACCTGGTGTTAGCGAGACCATACTCGACGAGAGTGTGCAGCCGATCCACAGTTTGTAAAAACGTTTGGAACGTTTGGTCGAACACTTTGCAACCTGAGTTATCGCTTTCTTTTTCGGGCACTGAGCTCGCTTCTTCCTGGCCCGTCTCCTTGGATCCACCCTCTCGCGCAAAAGTCGAACGTGAGAACAGGCTGTTGAAATTGCATAAGGCCACATGGGCAAATAGAATTCCCTCAGTCCTCTTCGAATTCGGGGGACCTTCTCTAGTAGATGATTTACACGAGTTGCTGGTGAAACTTTAGGAGCAGGAGACTGTCCCGACAGACTGGAGCCGCTCCGTCATAATCCCAATTTTCAAGGGATGCTCCCGTTCGGAATGCGGCAGTCATATAGGAATCCGTTTAATCTCAGTTGCCTTTAAATTTCTTGCGTCTGTCTTTCTCCAAGGACTGATTGGCACTCATAAAAGTCAGATCCGTGAAGAGCAGCCGGGTTTCGTCGATGTAGGGGCTGCATCGACCACTTCTCCCTGCGTCAATTGTTGGAGCACCACCATGTTTATTGGCGACCCACCGTTGTCGTGTTTTTTGACATAAAAGGTGTCTTCGGTGCATTCGATCGATGTGTTCTTTGGGAATGTCAGCTGAGGAATGGTGTGCTTGATAAATGCGTAAACCTTATGAAAGGCTTGTGGCAAACTGTCGTCACCCTTCAGTACCACCAGCGGTATGAAACAAGCTTACCCGCTGTCACCTTTCCTATTTAACTTCGCAGTTGACAAAGTCATGGAAACAGCATTCGCTGGACACGACTTAGAAGGTGTGCAGCTACTTCCTGGGGAGTGGGGGAAGCGACTTCTTGACTTGGAGTATGCGGACAATATTGCCCTAATTTGTGACAGCTCCCAAACATGCTAAGCAGCACTGGACCGATCAGCACTGGTTGTTTATCGTTTTGGGCTATACTTTGCTCCGTCGAAATGCAAAGTACTCCAAGATTGGCAAGGACCCACCCTGCGCTAACGCTTTGTGGTGATCTGCTAGAAGTCGTTCAGGAATTCAAGTAACTGGGCAGCTATATTAGCGCCCGTGGGATCGTAGATGAGGTTACAAACCGTATAGTAAGAGCTGGAAGTGCTTTTGCCAATCTGCGCCACGTGGTGGCGCAGACGCGACATTATTCTTGCCCTGAAGGACAGAACTTATAACGCAGCCGTCCGTTCAACCCTCCTACATGATTGTGAAACCTGGTCCATCAGGTTGACAGATATAACAAGACTCGTCACATTCGATCATCGCTGCCTTCGCAGTTTAGCGCATGTATAGTGGGAGCACCATGTGACTAAAGAACGTGTTCGGTGTCGCGTATTTGATGCAGGAATAGCGAGTAAAGCGCTCAGCACCATCACATCTGTTATAACGCTGTGCCCGCAATCGACCGGTTGATTCACTCCTGCTGGTAAATCTGCGCCCTTACGCCTGCCCTGCTTGACGCCTTGGCAAACCCGACAGGAAGGAAGATAGAAGAAGACTCAACAGACCAGTTGTATTAGGACAGAGAACGCTCATATTTATATGTCGGTCTCACCAACCCTCCAAACATCACCAGGCGGATTTGGCTGTAAGCCCACGCACCACACTTGCTTGTCCACTCCGTCTGTCCAGTTCACCGTCTTTCTCGGGTACTCCAGTCTTCGTCCGCTTACCCGGTGCATGGCGGCGCACGTGATGTCTGACGCGCGATTTCATCAGCTTCCGGTCAGGCCTTAGCAACACGCCTGCTGTCTGATGCGCGATTTCATCAGCTTTCGGCTTGGTCCTGGCAACACGCTCGCAGTGTCTTTCCCAAGCACGATTAGGGGTAAACAGCCGCGTGTTGGCAATTAGCTTTTTCGCCCAGTTGTCACCTCCCTTTCCGAATTGAGTCAGCTTGCACACCCTGCCAACATGATTGTGTCCGTAGC